TGCGTGTAGTGGATAACTGCCAATTATACTTGACATATTATATTATCGAGTAATCAACGGCATCATTTGTTTCTGGGCAAAAAATCTAGCATCTAAAGAATTGTTTCAGTGAAGTACTCAGGAGTTTTAGGCTTACCCGCCAACTGTTTGATTTATTGCCTTGGGAAGGTGATCCTGTTGAATGGTATAATTGCTTAGTAGATTGAATGGATCTACTAGAGAAATCATATAATCAAAGGAAAATATAATCACGCCAAACGCCTACAACAATTTCATAAAACATAAAAATCAAAATTTAGATCCTTGGAGGCTTTGTTCCTGAATCTAAAACATACATGTATACATGGCTAATCAAAATAAAATTTCATAGAAAAATCGTCACATTAGACCACAACACAAAAGAAAATATAGTAAAAACAATAACGCAATCCTAACACAAATAGCTCACACCGAATTAATACTTCTGTTACGCCTCGCCACTGAAACTCAAATCAAAACGCCACGTAGCAATCCATGTAGAAAGAAGGTAGCAAAGAGTCAATTAATCAAATTTAAGAGATCTAGTGAATGACTGAAACTATTGTGCCGAAGCACTGCATAAATGGTCGAAGCATGAGAAGCCGAAGTGCTATCTAAAAAGGTCGGAGAAGACAACAAAGCTCTTCACACAGAAGACCGATACAAAGCTTCCTCCGATTGAAGCCTAGTTCATCCCAAGCTTAAGCTGTCTATTAAAAGATTAATAGATAATTTTTAGGAATGATTGATGTAACGTTTGTAATAAAGAATGTGAGATGTATCGGCCCGATGTGTAAGATGGCTGGCCCATTGTCAATGTATTTATTGATGATAGATAGTGATGTGAAATTTTAGTCAATGAGATGAGACTACGTGATTCTGATCCAACAAACACCACGTCGGCCAAAACACTATAAATAGGAAGTCTTTGTAGATGAGAGAGGATCTTTTGGAAAATTTAAAAAGAGAAATACAAAATAGCCTTGCAAGCATCTTTTTCAACGCACATTCAAGAGAAAAAATTCTCCACATATCATCTTGCTTGTTCCACATCCGGTGCTTGAACATTTATGTCTCATGCCGTGAAGCAACTCCAGTGTTCACGTTTTCCTTGCTTCCTTCTAGTGCTCCGGACAAAATGCGGAGAAATTTGCTTGGGTTGGTGTGAGTGGGTCCAGCATATGTCATCAGCATCACGTTTTCCGGGGTTACACAACTTCCTTCTCGTATAAATGAAATTCAATTCAAGATATAGAAATTGAATTCAAAAAACGTGAAGAAAAATCAAATCTAACACAAATCGCTCACGGGAAACCTTAAATCAAAACAAAAATACTAATTAAATCCCAGTATTTTCACATCATAATGTAAATTCACGTATTTGTATACGTCCTTGTACGCGTATGTACATAAATTTGAGGAGATTGTACCTCAGATATGGATCTGGTGAGAGAGGCGGTGAAGGAACTGCCTGAGATTAACGCGAGAAATTAATAATTTTTTTCGGGAGGATGAAATTTGTGAGGAGAAGCGCCATTGTGAGTCATTCAATGTCCAGATTGCCATTAATTATTCCCTGGAATAACATTGTTAAGAAATATATTATTAATCATTGAGGAGCTGCAATCCAGTATGGCAATGGTATTTCCTCGTTGACTTTGACTTGGATGAGCCGGCATGATATGATTGGCTATGGAGGCTATTCTCTTCCTAGCAGAATCTGTCATTTCAGCCATTGATGTAGTACTGGATAATCTGATTGTCTTCTTCCTGGGTGGAGATGAGTGGATTTTGAAGATGAGATTAACTGAAAGGTAAACAGTATATGCTAAGAGGGGGTATGTATTTGACAAAAAATAATGGATGAGATTTTTGATAGGAGAATTCCAAAGTTACCCTTTTAAGTAACTTGATATAAGCCATTGAGAAAAGGGTATGATAGTCAAAATGCGTCAGTCGTCCCAACTCGGAACAATTCGGCTAGTGAAAACACAATCCATACCTCTAGCCAATCTAATTGTATAGATATCTAGAATCACAAAGCATAACCCAACACATCCCAAGAGTTAATCCAACTCTATAATCAAGTCGTATGAGGCTTGACCGTTACGTGCTCGACCACGGAGCTGTTAAGAATTAGAAACTTTAATTTTATACCATCGTAAACGATTAAATCGCTAAAAGAAAAATAGTCACAACAACAAGCAAAATATAAATGTTTGTCTTGTGAAACTACGTCAGTGTGAAACTATATCATCTTGTGTTGCTTTGTGGTCATTCACTATGAGGAAAAAAAATTCTTATCTTCTTTCACCTCTGTCTTTAAATTTGCATATCGACTCTATACAATTACAATAATTAGACTCGGCACAAATTGATTTGCGTATAGTGGATAACTGTCAATTATTTATCCCCCATCACTTGACAAGTTGACATATTATATTATGAATTATTCTATTCTACCAGATTTTGGTTCACAGATTTTGTACAGACTATCTCACATGAGGTGGGTCCCGAGGACCTAACTCATTAAAAAAACCCCCCAAAAATGTTAAAACACCCACCCACCCTATCTCACATGGCTGTGCCAGATCTTTTACAGATCTGGCACAGAACCTGGCACAGCAGCACAACTCTTATATTATCGAGTAATCAACGGCACCATTTGTTTCTAGGCAAAAAATCTAGCATCTAAAGAATTGTCTCGGTGAAGTACTCGGGAGTTTAAGGCTTGCCCGCCAACTGTTTGATTTATTGCCTCGGGAGGGTGATCCTGTTGAATGGTATAATTGCTTAGTAGATTGAATGGATCTACTGGAGAAATCATATCATCAAAGGAAAATACAATCACGCCAAACGCCTACAACAATTTCATAATACATAAAAATCAAAATTTAGATCCTTGGAGGTTTTGTTCCTGAATCTAAAACATACATGTATACATGTCTAATCAAAATAAAATTTCACAGAAAAATCGTCAAATCAGTTTACAATACAAAAAAAATCCAGTGAAAACAATAACGCATTCCTAACACAATAGCTCAAACCGAATTAATACTTATGTTACGCTTCGCCTCCAAAACTCAAGTCAAAACGCCACGTAGCAATCCATGTGGAAAGAAGTCAACAAAGAGTCAATTAATCAAATTTAAGAGATCTAGTGAATGGCTGAAACTATTGTGCCGAAGCACTACCTAGATGGTCGAAGCATGAAAAGCCGAAGTGCTATCTAAAGAGGTTGGAGAAGACGACGAAGCTCTTCACACAGACCGATACAAAGCTTCCTCCAACCGAAGCCTACTTCATCCCAAGCTCCTGAAGCTTAAGTTGTCTCTTTAAAGATTAATAAACAATTTTTTAGGAATAATTGATGTAACGTTTGTAATAAAGAATGTCAGGTGTGTTAGCCTAATGTGTAAGACTGCTAACCCTTTGTCAATGTTTTTATTGATGATAGATACTAATGTGAAATTTTAGTCAATGAGATGAGGCTACATGATTCTGATCCAAAAGACATCACGTCGATTAAAACACTATAAATAGGAAATCTTTGTAAATGAGGGAGGATCTTTTGGAAAATCTAAAAAGAGAAATACAAAATAGCCTTGCAAGCATCTTTTTCAACACACATTCAAGATGAAAAATTCTCCATATATCATCTTGCTTGTTCCACATTTATAAACTTGATCTTTAGCCGTAGGTGCTCGAACACTTATGTCTCATTCTGTGAAGCATCTCCCGCGTTCACATTTTCCTCGCTTCCTTCCAGTGCTCCAGACAAAACGCGACGAAATTTGCTTGGGTTGGTGTGAGTGGGTCCGACATATATTGTCCACGTCAGGGTCACGTTTTTTGGGATCACACAATTTCCTTCTCGTATAAATGACATTCAATTCAAGAAATAGAAATTGAATTCAAATAACGCGAAGAAAAATCAAAATCTAACACAAATCGCAGAAACCTCAAATCAAAACAAAAATACTAACTAAATCACAGTATTTTCACATCATAAAGTAAACTCATGTATCCGTATACGTCCTTGTACGTATATGTACATAAATTTGAGGAGATTGTTCCTCACATATGGATCTGGTGGGAGAGGTGGTGAAGGAACTACCTAAAATTAAGAAATTAATAATTTTTTTCGGGAGGATGAAATTTGTGAGGAGAAGGCGAGAAGCGCCATTGTGATTCATTCAACGTCCAGATTGCCATTAATTATTCCCTGGAATAACATAATTGCCTTTTAAGTAAAAAAAGTTGAAGGCTTGTTCGGTACAGCTTAAAATCTAATTAAAATTGAAAATATGATCGTTATTGGGTCCCACTTGTCTAATAAAAGACTAATTTTTCAATTTTAATCCAATTTTAAGTTGTACCGAACAGGTCCTGAAATTGTCCATTGTCCAGTGCAGCCCCACCCAATACTCTGTACAAAACATGCCATACTTATGTTTTCCTTGAAACAAACGTGTATAACTAGTTTTCGGTTTTACCTGTGGGCATTTATGCCTTGTAAGGATTGACTTCTCTTTTGCAGGTCATTCACTGCTAAATCTTTTAATTATTACTATTGTAACTTTCAGGCATACAGATGGTTTTCTTCACCAATCTGTCAGAAAATTAAACGTTCCCATTATTGGTTAGTTGCAGACTGATATATGAAGACAAGGTTGATTCAGAACCTGGTACAAGAGAATCTGGAAGCAAAGGTATACTGATTTCAACATCAATCCGGGAATTGTCTTATTAACTTTTGTCATATCATTTTGAAAAGATTATTTCTTTATCGCACATCTATTACCAGATGTGTTGGATCCTGAATTAAGCATGGGATCTTAAACAGAAACTCATAATCTTTCTTGTTGTATAATCTGATATATATACTACTAAAATATTCATCAATATTTTCACTAACCAATGGTGTGAAAGGGGCCAGCGTAACCATGCCAACCACACAAATGAATACACCTTGGCCATACTCAACATGAATCAGTATCTCTGTGAATCTTGTTTCTCAATGGCTTTCCAATCTGTAAGCATTGAATGGGAGGGACAGCAGGAGAATAGAGCTCTCCGAAAGTCTGCCAACAATACGGGTCATACATATGGTAGTGTTCTTGCAGGGGCTTCAACTGTATGCCTGTAAGGGTCACCCCCGTGCATGGCATGCTATCACTACATGCAAAGTGCACTGGTTTTACTGTGTATGTTCCTCTTATATTTGCATAATTAATCCCTGATAGAGCCACAGCTGATGTTTGATTACTGCATTTTCTTTTATCACAGTAGAATTGATCAATTACAATTGGAAATTGGACTTCAGAAACTTGAATGTTTGAAAACTGCACTCCTTGAACAGAACCTGAACCTCCCTGAGGATGCAATATTGGTATTAACAAAAAGGTATTGCGAAATCTGTTAAATGATTACTTATGGAACTGAAGAGCTGAGCATGTGTGTTTCAATTGGGGTGATTTGAAAATAATACGTTTACCTGCCATGTCTTTATCCTGACACCATTCATAGTATTATGCATATTGATGTCTCGGACAGTAATATTTGAGACACAAGCTTTGGTGTTGTCTTTTCCTAGCCCTCCAATGCTGATCCCATGTCCCGGTCCACAATTAACGTTATGTACGTATACATTTGTGCATCCAGTTTGTATTGATACACAGTCATCCCCTGCACATAATATAAAATGTTAAATGGATTCCAAACTCGATTTTCAAGTGCTTATTTTTTTGGCTAATCAATGCTATTTTGATTGGTTTTTTAATAATGTTTACTGCTGCTTTAGAGAATCACTGAAAGTGTCAAAATGTCATTAGCTTGATTTTATGGATGTGGTTAATATAGGCAGGATAAGATTGCAGCACAACAGGTCAGATTTTTGTTTAATTCCTTGCTAAATCGGATGCTGTTACGTGTAAAAATTTGAATACTACAGCCAAAACTTTGTCCTATGCATCCCAATTATGTCAATATATAATGCTTAGTGTTTAGGTAAAACCATCAGGCACAACGGCACATTCTGTTTCTTTATTCTTCAGAATTATAAAAAAAAAAAAACATTTTTTTCTGTCAAACTGGAGAAGGGGAAAAGATGGATTTCTAAATAGTTATTTACCACAAGCAAGGTTGGAACTTCGTATAAGCACATCTTTGGAGTTCTGCAGGTGAATTCCATCTGTATTCGGGCTGTCACCTGGAGATGAGACGCTAAAATTGTACACTGATACCCCAATGCAATTATCGAATTTGAGGTGACATTGAGGACTGTTTTGAATTGTGATGCCAGTGACTGTCGCATTAAAACTCCCATAGAATCTTAGTGCCTGGTGTTACAAGATAGTTATTATACTCTAAAATTAGCAAGACCAGAAAATGCATTTTGATGTTTTGATAATTTAAAGTGGTACTCACTGTTGGCTTAATGCTTGGCATTTTCCCTCCAATTGAACCACTTAACTGCCACATGAACTTTAGAAGGTAAGTCAGATACTGGAGAAGCTACTGGTGTGAGCATGTTTGGCTAAGCTTAAAAATAAAATAAGAAGTTACGCGAGTTAAAAAGTAACTTTTTTTTAATTAAATTCCTTTTAAGTTAAAAAGTTTACATATTTTGAAAGTAATTTTACTGTCTAAATAAGTAACTTATTTTCAATTTTGATGAATTAAGAAAATGTTTATTTATTTAAACGTGGACCTTCTCAGCTTAGCCAGACATGCTCAAGGGAATGAGAGGTAGGAGAAATTGTTACAGGAATTGGAGGTTTTTCTGCAACTGTTCTGTTTATTGGAACAATTAATTTCGATTCGTCATCTATAGGATCATCATAGGGGGAATCTTGCCACCAAACAGAACCTCTCCCGTCGATCGTGCCACTTCCCTTGATTGTAATTCCTACAAGTTTTGTGAATTCTAGCCATTGTAGAAGACCTGAACCCCAAGCTTTTGAGCTCGTTGGAGCAATAATTTTTCCATCCAACTGCATATAAATAAATTTACAAGCCTCAACTGATCACATTTTACTTAATTTTGCCAAAATTCATCAGTTATGATTATGCAGATTTCTGAATAATCAAGAAAACATTCGTATTATCAACAAACTGAATTCATAGATTTCTGCAGTTAAAAACTGAGTGTACTTACCTGGAAAACAATATTGTGTTGACAGTATGGACCAGAGAATGAAATGGGTCCCACAAGGAATATATATCCTGATGGTACATTAACTGTTGAAGCCTCCACTTTACAAGCTGTTGCCCATGTAGCTTGGAATGCCTGCAGTTCACCACAGCCAGTGAATATTATTCTGAATTTTTTAATCTTCATTTGACAGCTGATAATTTGAGAATGGAAAATAAGACAAAAAGTAAATTCAGAAATTTGTTCTTATTTATCTCATAAGTTAATCGATTTTATGGGGTCAAAAATGCTCTAATTATTTATCTATTTGTTTAAGTGGGGAATATTTAGTATTTAGAACTGTACAGTAGTTAGTTTGTCAAGAACTGTTTGTTATTATTGTTGGAATCAGGAATAAACTTCCTTAACAAAAACCATTTGACTGGTCCAAATGATTCTTTTGTCCAATCCTCTTGGCAGTTCTGTGCTTTCTTTTGTTAAGTTGCTAAATTTTATGGACTCTTTAAGGCATTTCATATTTAGAAAAAGTTCTTTTCCCCAAATTTGTTTGAAATGGAGGCTGGTTCTCTGCAATTCTAATTCCTCCAGTTACTTTAGAATCTTGAAAATTGGGACAGGTTGTTCTATGATTTTAATCCTCTATGAAATCAAAGTTCAATGCCACGAATCCCATTACATGGATTGTAGGATTTTTAACTGTATGGATACGGGGGAGTTTTGCATTAGCAGAATTCTGGAACTTTATAGAAAGAAACATAAGAATTGTACAAATTCAAGAGGAAAGAAAACTTTGGAGTTACCAATGTTGTCCTCTATCTTGTCCAGTTTGTTAATGTGAGATGGAATTTTATAGGGGGGAAAGTTCAACCAAGTCGAAAACTAAATGTATTGAAACTTTCCTACTGTTAGCTCATGGAGTAGAAATTAAGAGTTACCTTTGTATCATCTGTGCTACCATCCCCCTTTGCACCAAAATGCAGCACATCAAAGACAGTGGAAGAAGGTGAATTGTATCCACCTTTCTCTGGCGGGGTTACTGGTGGAGGTTTTTTCGACCCTGAGGCTGCTGGTGGTGATGGAACTTTCTGTTTGGGCTTACCACCATTGCTGTTGTGGTGATTGCTCCCATGATTTTTCCCTTTCTTCTTGAAGAGAGAATCTGAGTCTCTTCGGTTCTTCCTCCAATGCCTGCCTACTCTTCTTGCACTGCACATTTCAACATTGGAACACCAAACAAGAAGAACAATGATAAGCATGAATGTGAAGCTTCTTATGCTAAAACCACCCATGTTTATTGTGTGGAGACAGAATGGTGGAGAAGGATGGCTTGGCGGCCCTGGCTGCAGGGTGGTGGTGGTTGGATGTTATTTTTTATGTGATGATAGGCAACAGAGGAACTGCATGGAGGTTTATATAACAAATATTACTTGAAACTTCAAAGCTAGTGAAACTGTGCATAACATGAGGAAAGGTGATGTTTCATTCTCCTTTATTAGTTGTTCTCCTTTCCTTTATGTGAATGGAATCATTAGATATCTACTACTTGTAAATTAGTACGGGTGGTATATGCATGCCCTTGGCTGTTATTTTCCAAAATTCATTTTTTTTTTAAAACTCATTTTCAACCACGTATTTTATTTACTTTTATTAAAATTTACTAAAAATATAATTATTCCCAAAATCAAGTAGTGGCTAAGTACGACTTCTCAATTGCTCTTGAACGAAGTTATATACACAAGAATGCATATATGATTTTTTTTTATATCTATTGTGTTTAAGAATGTAACAATCATTGACCATTTACGATGATAGGTTACATGCTACATGAACATAAAGTTTGATATAATAATTGACATAATGTCACATGACATTTCATCATTGGACTGTTTTAAACATAATAAGTTTTTTCATCCGATAACCTCCCTCCACATTGTCTTCTGTCTTTGCATCTGAATTGATTATTTTGGCAAAGTAGCATTATTCTATAGAAAACCATATTATAGTTAAAAGGGTGTTTGATGCACATTAATGAGAAAAGAATGCATTTTATGATGTGATGAAAAATATGTGGTTAAAAAATAAATAAAAGTTTTGAATTTGCTTGTAATATTATTTTATTGAAAAACGTGTGGTTAAAAATGAATTTTGAAAGAATGAATTTTGAGAAGAACTTGGATCAAACGGGACATAGTAGTTATCATAATTTCATGTAAAAGCCAAAAAGACACGTGAGTGGGTCTATTATAAATTGTCTAGAGCAGTGACTACAACAGGTCGATTATTGTCACATGCAACATTCACGGGTTTTACTTTTGTACTTTGTCTTCTAAACCAGCAGCGGAAACTTGAGGGTCAAATCCCAGTTTAGATTTGTTTCTCATTTTCTTTTCCTCCCCGACTTTCTTAGGTATATCGATTACGTAATAAATAGAGCTCTTTAGTGAAACTTGATGATCATTTTCACTTCTTGTCGAAGCTAGAACTCGAATTCAGTGGAGACCTAATTTAATTACAATTTTTTTCCCTCAAATTTTAGTGGGGCCCTAGCCCCCACCTCCCTCCGCAACTATATACGACTAATCAATGACTCATTTCAGTGTAGTTTCAATTACACATCAACAATAGTGTTCGATCTCTGATCCGAAATCGAGCAACATCATCTTCTTTTTTATCAGATAGAATTACACATGAACATATTTCAATTTTGTTTATCTTATTCCATATTAAAGACAAATAAAACTTTAGTGTAGTTCTCCCATACTCAAGGAAACGTGTCCCATTTTTCTATGATATATTAGAAGTATAAATAATAAAATCTTTAATAGTTTATTTGTCATTTGGATAGGTCTGCATTCTGACCACGATCAATGAATATAATTCAGACCTTGGACACTAGAGAATTTTATACATGCTCGTGAACAATCGCATAGTTATGGTCCCTTTTGTCCCACAAAAATTATGGCATCACTATTGACGTAATTACTCGAAATCTCAATGCCCATTTCCAAGGAATGCAACATTTTTTACCAGTACATATGATTGCTGGCCTTAATGTTTATGGTTGTTGTTGAGCATGTGAAACTTACAGTTGAGGGATACATATAATATTATCATCTCCATTATATCGATGATTTTAGGACACAAAATTTCTTGTCATTTTTTTGTCTGTTTGTATGAGTACATAGGGTGCTTCACCAATACAAGAATCCATAAAGAATTCACGGATTCTTTTGCTTTGAGGGCCAAACCAAATATTATTATTTTCTATCTCTTACATTGCTAATAATGCAAGCTATTGTTTCACATGAACCCTAATCAAGACATTATTGTACAACATTTACAGATGAGTCTACATGATACATCTGTGCATAATATATTAGGTTTATGTTGTGATATACTTTAATGTTTGTATACTGAGGTAGAAAGTTTTTAGTATCTTTCATCTTCGTGTGTGAAGAATGTTTATGTAACGTGGTACGTGGTTAACTCATCGTGAGCCTTAGTATACTCGTGTATAGGGTTTGTGTGCAACGTGTAATATGTGTAATGCTATGGATTAAGTCTTAATTTCTAATTCGGAGATGTAATGCTATGGATTAAGTCTTAATTTCTAATTCGGAGATGTAAGATAAACATACAAATACTAAGGGTTTGTTCTTTTTACTGTTTTCAGTTTTCAATTTTCGAAAATACTAAAAACACGTTTGTTTACCTATTTTCAAAAACGAATTTCCAAAAATGAGTTTAAAATTTATAAAGAAAACGAAAAATGCCAAAAAAGTCGTTTTGGCTGTTTTCAGTTAAAACCAAGCCAAAACTTCATTTTTTAATTTTTGAAAACAAATTTCCAAAATGACAAAAAGAACACGTTTTCAACAATCTCTAAATAAACACTTAAAATACAAAATCTAAAATGAATTCAAATCTCAAAACTAAAATACGAAAAGAACAGTCCCAAAGTTTTTCTCACAAGAAAAGTTAGGGTTGGAATCCCCAACATTTATGTCAGTGCAGTCATAGGTCATTAACCTTAAAACAAAAAGAGGGCATGTGTTGTCACATCTTTTGGCTTGTTTTCAGAATAAGTTCTTGGCATTGTTACAAAGAATTCACAACCAGCAATGCGATGCATATTGCGCAATGAAAATTTGTTAGATAATAAACTCAAAATAGCTATCCAAAGATCACTACTTAAAATGAGTTTATTAATATTCATTCCACTAATGTCGATGTCAACTCAATTAAAATTACATTTGACCCTAATTGAGAATCGTCTTACTTGAATAGTTAAGTATAAAGTATGATAATTTTCTGGGTTTCAAGTTGTATATTGTTATTTTTTCAACTGAATTTGTGAGTTGGAAATTTGAGATTCTTAGTTGAATTTGAATATTTTAGTTCTTGGTATTGTTATAGAGTCAATATTGATAAGTTTGATCATTTAGGAAACTGCCTATTGGATTTAAGTAGTGTTTTAAGGTATTTATATTACACAGTTTTTGTATGTATGTAAGGGTGTTAACGAGTCGAAACTTGAAGTTCGGGCTCGATTAGAGTAAAAATGGTTCATAGTTTTTTTTCCCGAGCCGAGCCTAACTTATGCTCGGCCAAAAAATTTAGGCTCGAGCCGAGCTGATCTGCTCGTTTCTTTTTTAAAAATATTAATTCGTGACTGCTAACTGCAACGGCAGTAGTCATAGCTGTCTGCAGCAGCTGTAATTATTTATTTATTTTATTTTTTAACCTCTTTTTTTTAAAAAAAAAAACTTGGCTCGGCTCGGCTCGGCTCGTCACGGGCCAAAACTGGCCGAGCCACATGGGAGCCTCGAGCCTAGAATCGAGCCAGGAGCCGGCCGAGCTCGAGTTTCTTTCATCCCGAGCCACGGGCCACCCAAGTTGGCAAGTAACATTAACATCCCTATATGTACGTTGTCTTTCAGGTTAAAATCTATATTTTAATTTAAATGAAAGTCAACAATTAATTTTAACTATATTTTCATTGGATCCACAACTTTTCAATCACGCATTTTATCAACTTTTATCAAAATCTATTAAAAATTCTATTTTTAATCCCCACAAGAAATGGACTAAATATTCAAATTGAACGGTAATGCTCCCCAAGCTCCATTTTCGTCTTTTCATTTTTGTTGCACTCTCGAAGCCTTCCTAGAAAAAGGTGTGGTGGAGGTGGTGTTAAACTAACGTTTGTCAACTAAAGGCTGTAATGCGCAATCATGAAGGCACAATCAAACTCTTTACAAATAAAATATTTTGTTCTTGATTTTTAAATGATTCATACTTGACCCGAAAAAATATAGATTTACATTTAAACATTTTTTCATTAATATTTTGGTCATCATTTTCTTTCATTTGATTTTGAACAGTCATTTTATTAATATTTTGCTCATCATAAAAAAATACATATTTATGTTTAAAAAATTTATTGTGTATTTGATATAAACAATTAATTCAAGTAATCGAAAAAAACATATAACAAATATTCAATACTAATAATCAATCAAATAAATATAATTCGTTAAATATAAGTCAAATTGAATACAATTAGTTTAGACACATTCTATATACACAATTTGATAAGAGAAAATGAAAATTTAGGTTCTAATTGATTGAAAAGTAAAGATTTATAGTAGATGTGATAATTTAGAGAGAAATTATGGACAATTTTTTAAAAAAATTAGAAGAGTTAAGTTTTTGGTAAAAGGTATAAGGGAGAGAGCAAGAGAAAAGAGAAAAAAAATTCAAATTTATTATGATTTTGCTCATATTTGGTGAGAATTAAAATCAATTTTTAGTAAATTTTGATAAAATTTGAAAAGTTATGAATTCCACTAAATATGTTATTAAAATTAATTATTAATTTTGATTTAGATTAAAATTTAGATTTCAATCGATACCAAACAGAACTTTATTAAAAAAAAAATCTCAAAGACTTGACTTGAGAGTTAGAACATTAATCACTAAATTAGTTAATTTGCTAATTTGTTTAGAAAAAATTAAAAAATTTTAATTAATTCAATATAAAAAATTTAAAAAATTATTTAAATTCAGTTATTCGGTTATGGGTTTAGAACCGAGAACCGAACCAAACCAAATCAGTCGATTCTCGATTCAGATACCCGTTCGGGTATGTAAATTATGAAGAATCGCTGAATTCAGTTCGGTCCGGTCCGGTCCGGTTCGATTCGAGAGTTTT